GGAACACTATTGCACAAGACACACTACTTTTGTTCAGTGTTTTCATGTATCATATATGCCACATTGCCATTATTTTCTGCCCTTTTTTGAGGGGTTATCTTATTAAGACTAAATGAACAAAATACACGGGTTTCCTCCTATAATTATTTGCCGGTAACAATAACTCAGTGCTTAGTTCTCAGAAAAATCGGCGTCTCAGACTATAAGAACCCTTTATTAATTAAAATGGGTGTTTTTTTTTACAAGGACTTTGTCATGGGTACTGTACTGGGGTGATCTGGTTAATGTGTTTGGTTATCATAGCTCTACTCCTTCAAATTATGTGGCCTGATAAACTATGGAGATTAGAGAATAAAAGGGTTGTCAAGAATCGCCGATTGCCTAGCAACATGGCAGCCAGACTAGACATTTCAAATTCAATGGAATATTGCAGTAATAGTCGAATATTAAACACTTGTTCACCTTCAGGGCATCAATAAAAGATGAAGTAGCATTTGATGTTTGCAACATCTAGAATATGTGGCAGACATCTCTACATCCATCATGTAGAACAGCTTTTTTAAAAGTAACTTTGAAAGATATAGTCTGATCTAGATTCTAGCCTGCACCTTTTTTGCTTAATTGCAATGGTTCACGAGTCAGTAATTTTTACCCAACTTTATCAAATGTTCGACAAAAATGAAATGTGTATGATTTGAAGGCAGACATTTACTAATAATTTCATTTTCGCCATGTAAAAAGCCATAAACATTCAAGATTTTGTCATTGAAACCGCCGAAATATTCAAAATGTTAATATGAATCTATATATCACAGCAAACATTTAAGATTAATTGCTGTAATTTTCCTTCCTCCGATGGGTTGGAACGAGATTATTTCATTTTCACCAACATTAAACACAGTTTAAAACTCAAAATTGCCAGCAAGGCAATTTTTTTTTGTAACCACTCTTCCCATTTATATCCACTTTTTTGGTCCTACATGTACTTTACAATCTTTTGATCTTTTAACTAAAATAGTTTGATACATATACATGTATAAATTTCAGTTTCACCAGATCTACACATATAAAACCACGAAATATTACACTCCATGTAATATAATAATGCCTTCTAATAATGTTTCTACATTCTTAATTAAACACCGATTTTCATAATTAAATAAAATTTCTGCTTAAGCCAGTGGGTGCTGCGGGGCATGTTGGCTTACCGAGCCTGCAACAGTTTCTTTCACTTTTGCCGCGTTGAACAACATTTTGACTATTAAATTGTTTCTGACACCTAAACCATAACATTTGAATATCTATGTTTGTTTTGAAACATAATGGTATGTGCCACGAAATTGTACTTGTTCGTATTACACATGAAAGGGCAATGGTAGTAACGATTGCCATTCAGAAAATGGAATATACGCATAAAAAAACTAATTTTTCAAAAACTCTCTGAACACTTATACAACAAACAAATCATAAACATTAGTAAGAGATCAAAACTTGATAATATATATATGAATATTGTAATACCCGTAATAACTTTTGTTGCAAAATGTCATAAACTAACTTAATACATTCACCTTGAACCTATGGTAATTTAGTTTTTCCATATGTGAATATGTGATTTATAAAATAAACACCAAACGTTAGAAGTTCATCAACTTTGTGCAATAGATGGTTATTTATTAATTGTTTTTAGAGAGGTTTCTAAAATATATCAAAATAATTAAAGTATGTACATGTATTAGATTTTAAAATTATATACTTTGTATCATAATTACGCTTGTGTTACAACTCAATTATATAAGATACCAAAGTAAGCCACCGGATAATAGATAGCTTTGATCATAATCAAAATATATTATTGTTCCTGAAAATAAGGTTATGGAAATGAAGCTTCCGAATTAGCAGGTATGAAAATAATTTAGCAAAATTAAAAAAAATCATCGAAGTTGTTTTCTGGTATATTATGTTATAAAGCATGCATATAATTTGAACAGCACTCATTGCCAAAAACAAGAGAAACAAACAAACAAACAAAACAAACCAAAAAAATGACACATGTTTCAAACATCAGTTTCTCAAAACTATATGAATACACATTAAGGTCTAATGTTAATCTACGTTCTTTCTAGCACATCTTTCATTGATTAAAATCACATTTTCTGACGTTATGTTACGTACAATTCATGCTGAATATTTTTTTGGAAAATGTGCTATAGCCGGAGAAACTCATATTTGATATACCGTTTCACATAAAATAACAAGTAAACAACAAGCAAAGCATGCACATGTGGTCATAGAATCAAAATAAGTATACAATCATTAGAAGCCTAATCCATATATAAAATATTGCATTGTTTACAGCAAATGCTGCTCAAATATGTTGTCTATGGGCGTTCCTATTTACATGTACAGACATTTGTCATATTTGTAAATTAGCCGGTAGTTCCTTTTTATATTTCATCATGTACGTATTTGTACATGTATTTGAATGGTCTTAAATAAAGAAGTTGAAACCTATGCAAGTTTAACAATTAATTTCATTTGGATGATTTGTATATACATTGTACATAGTGTCAAATATAAGCAAAAAGCTTGTTTTTTTCCTTTCTCGTCAAAAAATGACGTTATACAGCAATGAATTGTGTGGCTGTACAAAAATGTATTTTGATAGAAATTTTGATATTAAATGAAGCTCAAATAATTTCATTCAAAATGTCAAAATATAAATATATCTAAATAATGTTTAAACAACAAATTAGGTATTTAACAAATGTAAAATTTTGAACAAGAGAAAAAAAGGGTTGCTGGTTAATTTGATTGTGCTTTAGTTCAAAGAAAGTAGCTTGAAAATTTCACTACCGTCCATGGACAAGGTCAATCAAATAGAACCTGCAACACTGTACTGAAGGACCTTCAATGATTCCAAGTTTCATAAAATACATACAATTATACTCCTGGAACTAGTTAATTTTACAACAGGGTAAGTTTCGATCACGAAATAAAACAAATTAATATGATTAAAAGTAGTGTCACATTTATTCAATAAACTAAATAATTCATGAATTGTTTCAAATTTGATTAATAAACTCCCAATAGGATTCAATTACAATTTAATATGATCCCATCTTACATAATCAGAATACCACATCAGACATTTCTGTGCTGCATGTAAAGTATCAAAATGACAAGCGTTTTTACTTTTATAAAATCAACTGCCAAAACAAATTAAACTTCGCCGAAAAAAAAACACACACACTCAAAAGGGTTATGAACCCAATCTAGAAAATATGCATAAGAAAAGCATTAAATAGTAATATACGACTATACACAGTTTTTAACATAATGGCTTAATTTGTGTATGGAATATATGAAGATGGTTCGGAATTAGATATGTAGGCCATGAAGGCGATGGCAGGAGTTGTTATACAGCCAGATTTTTTAGCATACTTCAAACAACGATAAATGTAAAAAAAATGAGTACAGATTCTTTCATAATAATTCATAACATAATTCGTATAAATTTCGGATAATTTTGATATATTTTTCTTCTGTGAATATAACATAGCAATTACACATCCATTTGATCTTAATTGATGCTCCTACATTGTAAAATGATTTATTGCTTTTGTAAAAAGCGGTTTCCTCAGAAGATACATTTACAGGACTGATAGCATCTAGAATGTGCCAGTCAACATGGGAACCGCCTGTCATTTAAATCATTTACAAATTGCTTTTGTGATACAAAGTGGTTATTTCATTTCATATTCAAAAAGCTTATGAAATATTTAAGAGTTGTCCTTTTATATGTGTTTTGAATAATATTTTGTAAGTGATGTTTAAAAAAAATGTCGCCAACTCTTGATTAATATATTAGTTGATATAGAATATCTTCGTGTTTATTTCATTGCATATTTTTTTTTCTAAAAAAAAATAACACGAAGTGTTTTATGCATATTGTTTCATTTTAAATATTTATTTTCAAAATTTACAGCCAATAAAAGGGGGAAAAAGATTTTAATGTAAACCTACACACTAATATGGATATTATATGCTACATTTTATATAGTATGAATACAATAATTTGTCCCGTGTGCCAATCATCATGTAAATATTCGTACCAAAATATTTGGATAAGATCATTCAAATTATGCAATTGAATTAAATCTAAATTATTTAAGCATCCCGTGTACCCCGGCATTGAAGGGTTTTCTCCGCCTTTTTTGTTTCAATTCTCGAAGCAAAAGTCAGTTACAGAAAAGGAACGCCCATTGATACGCGATGCATTCCCTGGAAGCGATGCACATATTTGATATATGGATATGTAATAATGTTGCAAGTTTATTCTAATTCTTTAGTCTATTCTACTATATATAATAATTTGTAACACATGAAAACAAATTCGTTATTTCATTTTGATAATATTAGACCTTTCATTTTATTTTGAGTGTAGACATAAATGTAATCATAAAATCTGTATTTTGTTTTTACAAAAAAGATCTTTATCAAAATGAAATATCAAAACTTTATAGAACGACAATCTATGAGAAATTTATATCAATGCAATTGTTTATTTGATATCTAAAATAGAATGTTCCAAGCAACGTCGGAACACTCATACCCTAATTGTTATTCCATATAAGGAGTTTGGCTGTTTATTAATGTCTTAAATCAAATTTCAAAATACCAGAAGACCATTCAACTTTGATAAGCTATATTTAGATACATCCTGTATTGCATATGTAATGAAATACATGTATATAAAAGGCATAACATAATGTAGCATTTTGGATATAACTAAATGTAACATCCAAATAAATCAGTTTTTGATCAACTAGTTCTCGAGGGAATGTCTTTTAAAGTTATCAAAGGAAATGATAAAATTCTTTCATAAAACCACTGACTTTCGGGGTATTTGTCAAATTGCATTGATAAGCATTCCTCACAAATTGTTGCCAATGATGTAACTAACTAATATATGCAATAATAAAAAGTTCTAAACTTACCTGATTCTTCAGCTGATAGTGCAGCCCGCGTCTGAAGATAAGTTCTAGCAGGTGTTGATATTTTCTTTCATAAAAGTGTTGCAATATTCTGGAGGAATCACTTCACCCAAAGCTGTAGCGCTGCAGACGTCCTATACTGCTGGAACCAATTAAACCTGTCGTAAACTGATTGCGTTGGCCCCGGTAATGGTAGAAATCTCGAAGAAACACCTGCCAAATAAGAAAATAAAATGAATTATTTAAGAAGTTTCCTTTAAAGATAGGCCTGGCACGAACATCCTGATGGTGTATTATCGACATATATTCCGTACAGAGCAAGGATCTTGGTGAAATTTATTCATTATTTTAGATTAAACAGGAGGTTCAAGAGAAAAAGAATATGATTTATATATTTACACTGGCACTGTTTGCCAAATTATGAATATAATTGTAAGCTTTGCAACAGTCTTCTGCAATAAATAGCGGCAGGGAAAGTACTGCCTGGCAATGGTTGTTATTTTTTTCCCCTCACCAATGAATATTTAATTAATTCCCAGCTTTATCGCCTTTGTTGGTGCATATCTAATTGAATTTTTAACACATCTTAAAGATGTAAATTTGATATATAATGATTGTCCATCCACCTTCCGCCTTAATATAAATCTTTAAACATGTGCCTTCCAATATTAAAGACCTGGTAAAAGCGAGAAAAATATTTGTACATTTGAAAAAACTATGTGTATACAACTGATTTATTTCTACTATCTATATTTATATCTTATAATAAAATGCTTCAAAACTTTCGAATATAACATCAAGCTTTAGCTAATTTAAGTATCATGACACGGTTATTCTAATTATTTCCTAAAAGGTCATATATATATGATTTATATTGGAAAAACCGACCAGACATATTTTTTTCTTTTATGTTATGTTCCGGAATTTCATTTTTTGTTTCTTAAAAATAATGCAATTCATGAATGATATTAAAATGCTTTCTTAGACAAAAAGACGAATTTGCTAGATCTGTAAAAATAAAAATGATACAATATTTTCTAAATCATTATTTGGTCCTGTCTATGAAATATATCTTTATTAGAATAAATTTTACGGAACCGTGGAAAAAAATATAAAATGTTAAGCAATGAAGTTTATATGTGATTTTATTACACTATAATTAACCCCAGATATTAATGTACATGTAATTATATAATAGAACAAAAAAAAAAACGAATGCATTTTCTTATACAGGAAAAATGTAATTAATTATGATAAATTTTGCATCCTCACATATGTTGATCCATATTCTAGTTTTATTATTATTATTATATATATACTTTTTGCTGTACTAATGTAGTAAGATATGTTTAAATGAAATATTCTGTTCTTATTATTTCCGCTTGAACGACACGTCTGTTTAGCATATTGTTATTTAATAAACGTCATTTTTTTTGAAGAAGACCAAATGTCAAAAACTAAGAAAAACGTTCTTTAATAGATTATATACTAATACAAGAAATATATCTGATAAATAGTTGCTTAAAGAAGTTACCAACACTATAAATTATTCTAGTACAAGTTGGTATTTGTTTACTTATCCATATACTTTTTTTCATTGTACAATATGTTGAAATACAAATATAAACACAAATTAATTTCATAAATTTCATCTTGTTTTAAAAACGTACTGAGTCCCAAAATTACTATTATTTTTTTTTCTCTCTTTGACAATATGTTTTGGGGCACTGTAACAGTTTAAAAACATACGCATTGGTCATAAAGCAGAACCATCCAGGTCATAGTGATCTAGTATTTTGTAAAGGCGTCAAAGTATCATTTTGTTTACGTTTGTTACATTTATGTGCAGTTTATTAGCTGCCTTTTTTAAAGTGATAAGAATTATATAAATTATATATATGCTCTAAATCAATTACTAAACTCGCATATTTGTCATTCATTAAAGAGAAAAAAAATGTGTTTGTTTATGTGCCTTTATTTAAACCATTGTAAAAATATGTTGAAGGCCATGAATTATATTAACGTCATTCTTTCTGAACTGAAAAAATCATATCAAGCTAAAAACAAACAAAGCGTAATAGCTCGCACCTATGATAATTTGTTCACTCTGTTTTGTACATAAAATTAACTATAAATACATGTTTAGGTTAGTTATTAAAACAAATGGAGTTTTATTAAATTACTTTCTAAGTTTCAATATATTTATTGCGGAACTTAATATTTTCTAAAAGCATTGTAAAAATAATATATTCTATAACTGGTTATTAATTCACAAAGAAATAAAGGAAAAAGAAAATCTACAAACATACAAAAAAAACACCCCCCCCCCCCCAAAAAAAAAAAAAAAAAAACACAACAGATAGTAAGGCGTTATTCTTATATTTTCAGTGCAGTGGTAGACAAAAAATGTATTGTAAACAATTGAAACTTTGTGTGAAGCTAAATTTAAAGAAACATGCTATAATAATGTTGTATCCTTCTAGGAAAAAATGTACAAATTTAAAAAATCTTGTTATGTAAACAGATATAATCGCGTACGGTATTATGAACATGTATACAAAACACGCAATGATTAAAAAATAGTTAATGTTTTTGAAAAATGCACATTTTGACTCAAAAAGTAACATTACAATCTTTCTCGATTTCAGTTTTTCTTTACACCAAGCACAAAATGGAACCGTGAATATGATTTTTATAACGACAATTTAGAAAATTTACTTTTTAGACCTATACACATCTTGTTTAATATTTGTTACTTCCAAACTATTCCTTTTTATTGTACTTAAGTATAAAAAGTAACATTCCATGTGTAATTATTATCAAACTAATATAGTTATGAATCTACAAGTTTACTATTTAATTTGATCTTTAATCCAGTTTGAAGTTCGTATTTCAAACCAACATGTCATTCAATTTTTTAGTTAGTATTTCACTGTTTACTTTTAAATAAAACTGCCAAATTTAATAAATTATTAATCTTGTTACAAAATGCTCTCTTATGTTTGAATGTGTTTACATCAGATTGAAATATAAATAACTTCTTGTTTCTTTAAAAAAAAGCATTTAGTCTCATGTAATAAATAATATTATAATGTAAAGTCTCAAATTGTAAACCTGGAACTAGGCATGCACAATTTAGAAACAGAAAACAAGCATTAAATTAAAAAAAGAAAAAAATGGCATTGAAAATCAGTTTTCAGATAGTGTCTTGAAATAATAGAAAGAAATTGGAGAATATTCTTTCCCATCTTGTTCTTATATATTTCTACTTAAAATCAAATCACAGAAAATATAAAATGTCAATGTTTGGTGTCAAAAGGTTTTTTTGTGTATTAACGTATAATTACATTACAGTTACGTTTTTAACATTTATTTTGTTAAAGTTTAAGTCTACTTTGTAACAAGGAATATTTAATTATGACATAGAATTTGATACAAGTTCTTGCAGTTAGCAATCATTCATATATGTATATAACTTTGTTATTTCATTTTATTTATTTCACTATTTTCTTGAAAAATAAGATGCACTTGTTTTTAAATACGAAACATTTCATTTTAATATAAGATTCATTTTGCTGAACAAAATTGACCCTTTCAGCTCGTATCACAAAAAAACATCGAAGTTCAATTATGCTCCTGTTGGCTACGGGTGGATGCTTTAGATTAGATTAATTCAAAATTAGAATCGATTTGAATAGCAAATGGTTAGTCAAAATTCTCTCTAAAGATATGAATAGAAAACCCATTCTTTGCTTTTTCCATCTAACCTCCACCTATCTATCTATGTATGATCTTTGTGAACAAATTTCTACCTTTTTTGTAAAGGAATTTGATTTACGATTTGCTTTCTGAAACATGATTTCGCATATTGATATAATCACCTTTTAGTAAATTATGCTTATTGGCAAACATAGTTTACTTACATAAATTTGTAAAAAAAAAAATACGAAAGCTTTCATTTGATACGGATTATGAATTAGCAACGTTGCATTGTTTTACAAAAAAGAAAATGCAACCGTTTTATGTACATTAGTATCATGTTGAATTAATTAGAGATATATAGATACATGGATAATTATTATACACAAAACATATTGTGTAATAGAATACCATGTACAATTAATCATACATTCAATTGTATTAGTTTAATATTTCAGATTATTCACAGATGGCAATCAGTTAGATATCATCAATAAATATAATCAGATTAAACAAAAACACAAAAAAACACCTACCTTTTAATGACGTCAGCATTATAATCAAAGTTGAGTTTTTTCCACATGTATACTAACCAACTCGGGTATACTTTGGACACGGTTTCTTCGTTTTGTCGCGTCTCCATGGTTTCCAGTCGGCACGCGGGATATCCCGCGTGAGATGGATCAATGTTATCAGGCTCCTTCTGAAGCGTGCACTTACCGATATTAAAAGAAATTTTATGTGGTTACTGAAGCATTAGGCGTTTTAAAGGTGTGAACACCCATTATACACAGGATGTTTGATATTATTCTAATAACTCGACTTTCCACTTTTTTTTTTAAAAAAAAACTTTCTTTTCATAACAAGCTTTTAACACACTCGTATCTTTAAAAGTGAATTTCACATTCAGTAATGTTTTAATCCATAACGCAGAGCTCTATACAAAATATGGTTTGCCTTTGATAAGATTTTTTATGTGTTTTTGCCCTCATTTTTAAAAATATTTAATTTTAAGCAGTGACAGCTATCCGCTGGAGAAAAAAAACACCATTTAAAATCTACGCGCTGTTCATTTAAAATTAGGCTTTGTTAACAAGTGGTTAGACAATAAACAGCGTCTTGGAGCATCCAAAACAAGTACATTTATTTCTATGCTCGACTGACTGAATCGTCTTTATGGCTTTGTAGCATAGGAACAGCTATAGAAGCTGAATTACATAGACTATAAATTTCACACTTAAATTGTAATTACAAACAACACATGGTTTTATCTTCTAGCATTCATATGTTACCATGTTTTAGGAGCATACTTGAGCAAACGTTTGGTCATAAATTATATCTTTATATTTTATACAAAATTTGTAAAGTCTTTGAACAATTACATGATGGGTTGCCATCAGATATGCTTCAGTGACGTTTTCCGGACAAAACTGCATAGAGGTGATGACGAATGTGCCTATCACATGATAAAGGACACTCTACCTGTCTAAAACATTTTGCCATAAAAGAATAATCACTTCGTTACAACATTAACCAGTGTTCCAATTGACAGTTGCAACCATTATAATAATAATGTAACATATACCAGGAATAAAAGCTTTGTGAATAATTGAGACAATGTAGTCATAAAATCTTGTATCCCCTATTCGTGAAAGGCGATGCAATAATAATGAAATTTGGAGTTTCCGCAAAGAGGACAATTCATTTTTTGAAGTCTATTGCCATTTGCCAAGTTAGTGCATCGTTAGTACACTTCATTGATGATTATGCCATTCGTACCACTTCTTACTGTAACTCAACGGTATCTTGTTTTGACTGTAACATTAACACAACTGACTTTCAAAATCACTACATTGTAGAAGTCATCCATTTTAACGATTGCTACGTGATGACAGTAAATTAGTGTTGCCTTTTGCGTTAACAAACGCTACGAAATACAACTACACTCGTCTTGCCTTTTCTTTTAAATAAGACTGCGTAATGGCATTTATTTGGTTTTGGCTTTTGCCTTTGTTTAAATGAAAACTATGTAATGGCATTAATTTGGTCTTGCATTTTGTTTAAAGTATGGTCTACTGCAATCAAATTTTTTTATCCTATCAGATTAACCTACTTTCGGATCTTTTTTTGATTTCGTAGATAAACGAATACGTAAGACACCATTTTCCATCAGGTTTGGAGTATTGGACGTTATTTACAGAATATCGTTATGGAATGAATACTGCTGATGATTAATTCGATGCATAAACGATGCTGTGTTACGAATTCATTCATATTAACGACAAATTGCTTCTATTAAACGAATAACATGTGCAAATTCCCTAACCATGATTCGTTTTCCTAGTCCTCAAATAGCTGATTTGGTAGACTAACACGTGCTTAAACAGAAAATGCTAATTACCATTCCGGTTAAATAAGCAATTGTTATTCTCGTTGTGCTAACTACATTTATAATTCATTATGTAAGAACAAGTACTGCAATCAATTTCTTTAACCGTGTCTGTAAAGTGACGACCTTATCGACAATTTGTACAAAAGTATCAGACTATGTTAGATTTTACAAACAATTCACTGTCATGTACATTTATATTTTCTTGTTATTGCATTAGGTTTTCTTTTCGCATAATGTAGAAAACACGTGATTTAATGTTTGACCTTGACCTAGATAGTTCAAACATCTTGTATCGTATGCAGGCTTCAAATTACTATTATAAATCACCGCAGTATATGGCAATAACAAACACATAAAATCATAAATTATTAACATTATAAATGCAATTAAAAATATGAATGTGAATAAAAAAAAGTGTAATGTTCCATGTAGAAAATAACCCTTGACATTACACTGAAAATGGTAACAACATAAACGTTTCTAATAGGAATGTAAGGGATATGATAAAACTCAAAACGCGATTTTTTTTGACATATAAGAATATTGATGTTGTTTTGACATTTTGCGCGTTTTTTTTTCTTTATATATAGTGTATTTTTAACAATTGTCTAAAATGTTTTGTTTTAGAAAACAAGAATGCAAAAAGAGAACAAAAAAAGAAGAAAAAAGAACAAAAAAAAACAAAAACAAAAAACAACAACAACAAAAAAAAAGCATACCTTTAGATTTTTCTGTTTTCTTTAAGTTATTGGCCCTTTCTATGTAAGGCTTTGCAAAGGTACTGGACTTGTACAATTTCTGACCTGGTAGGTATGCGGGAACTGCTACATATTTAAACTGCGAGCCAACTCGTACAAGGATCAACGTATGCTTGTTCGCAACTTTTGACCTTCCTCTTGATTTTGGGCGATTTGAAGAGTATATCTTCTTAAATATTTCATATCTGTCTTCAATCTTCTGTTCATCGGTTTCTTTTTGCTTTTCAACATGTTTTGGGGTTTCTTTTTTAGCCAATGTACTTTCAATCAAGGCTTTTATACGTTTCTTCTCTTCAATGTTGTCATTAGACTGGGTTTTATTCTTCCTGTCGTCATTTGCAATGTAATATCCTATAGTATCAAGTTCATAAATTATTTTGTGTGGATCTGTGTAGTTCTCTGCAGCTATCTGCTCTATGATGTCATCATCTTGGTTAACAGTCTTTATTACAACCGTTTCCATGTTATTTGCTGGACAAACGTTTGCATCTTTATTTGAATCTGCGCAACTTTCTTTATTTTTAACACTTTTATTAACTTCCTTATTTGCATGCATAATTGGCAGGCTTTTTTTACTTTCTTTGCCCTTACTTTTGAAATTCAAGGTATCATTTCCACCATTTTCCCCAACATGTTCATTTTTAGATGACCTTGAACTTTGGTGTGAAATAGCTGTTGCTTTGACGTTATCATCAGATGCCGATGTTTTGTTTGAAGTGTTATTTTCATATAGTACATCAAGCTGGTCTATAGAGCTGCTGCCAGAACCCATGATATTTACATCAAGGTGAACACAACACTAAAACAACAAAGCACCAGTTTGATTGGCATCAAGATTTATTATAAGATTACACGATGTAATTAAAAGTTGTTCCTGAATGCCTTGAAGTAACATATATATCCGCAACCCATGAATTGTTAATATTATTCCGAAGTAAGTTTTAGATATCGCACGAAATCTGTGTATAAAGATTTCTCTCCTTTTATTTAAAAAAAAACTTAAATTTATTTTTAATTGATCATAGAAACCTAAGACCTATTAATTGTGACACATCATGAAACCTTTTCACTTTTTATTATATTTGCACAATATATAAACGCATAAACTAAAATCACATAAAGGTAACCACTCGAATAATATTTACATATTTTATCTCGAAATCGAACATGATATTGAATATATGGACTCAGTTGGAAAATGTTTAATCATTTTGTTTGTTTGTAACTATACAAAACAAGATTTTTTTCTTTCCCCCTATTAAGAGACATTGCATATATTGAAGTCTTATTGTACTTTATTGCATTTCAATGAAGTCTGTGGGCCTTTCATGGCTGATGAATTTCTATTCAAATGTGATTAGGTTTCGATTGCAATGAGGAAACTATATAATCAATAATTTGATATAAAGGTGCCTTTGTATGGAGTCTGATTGAAAACTATTTTAGTAACATTGAACGTGTTAAGTTGGCCGACTGCTTTCTTTCACAACGAAGCCGATGCTCAATTACTTTTTATGAATTTTTTTTTCACGAATTATTCATGTTTACGGGATGAGCTATAGCAATAAGAGATACAAATATGCAATTGATTGATCTATATTGGTTATACCACAAAAATATTTTTTATACGGATTGCAATGTGAGATGTGGACAGAATTTATTACTACTTTAAACCTTGACAAAAAGGAAGCGAGGAAGCAAATGCTGGCACATGTTTTGGAAACTAAACTTTAATAAAAATGTTAAACATATCACTAACACTTCTTTATCATGTACAAGACGCTTGCGTTTATTGATTTAAGTTTGCTAAGCGGTGTGTATGACAAATAGGTGTGCCTTTATTTGCAAGTCAATTACATTGTATTTGATGTGCTCCTTATAATTTATAGGTGTGTAAATTATAAATAGTACTATGTTTGTTTTATTTTTTTGCACAAGTAAAATAGGTGAAATATGGAAAGAGTATAAATCTAGCTTTTGTCACATTTAAGTATGAACGATGATAAGGGTGTCTACCTCGCAACCAAGGGTTATTGCTTCGAACCAAACTTTAGCCGCGTTCATACCAAATACCTAACCAAAAGATTTCTGAAAGGCAGGTACAGACAGCCTGGCATTCCGCGCAACTCTTGATCAGGTCATAGGTGCTTACAATGACCTCTATTACAAAAAACATACTGATACGACAGCAATAGTCCTGACAGCTGCGCATTGGCGCAGCTGGTCAGGATCCATGCTGTTCGCACATTCATTACTGTTTAGGTTTGTCATGCGACGAGCATGATCTCTACCAAATTGCGTATCCGAGGCTAGTCTGTGGATCCATGCTGATCTGCAACTTGACATAATATGTTTGTGATGACATCTCAAATAATTTTACTACAAATATATGAAGCGGGTGTTCATGTATAGGTATAATTGAAAGCAATCTTAAATCACATTTAAAGGGACTCCACTAAAAGTGTTTGGCATTGCAGGACTGTGAATAATTTTTCGAGATTAATGTTTCATTTGATGTAGGTCTTGACCAATAAAATGTGTCCAAAATTCGCTCACTCCGTTTTTCCGGAAATATATTCTTACCAAATATTTAAAAGCCAAAGAAAAACATATCACGAAAATACAATTTCCAATTTTTATCAAACTATTTGTTTTAATTATCTTTTGCATATTTGTCTGTTTTAAGTGCCCCAGCTATGTAAGAAATTCAATTTAGTGTGGAGTTTCTTTAAATTTATGATTATAGGTCGATCACGTAGTAAAAGTCGAAAAAGCTTTCTTGTTATAGTTATAAATACCCTCTTTGAAATCTGATAAAATAATTTTAAACATTTAAGTATTCTTAAATGGTGTACTTTCATTAATAATCAATAACATATCATTGATATTTAGGTAAACTACATTGAATACATGTGAAGAAAATATTGTGCTTTTATAAAGAAATTCAATTTACGATATAAATGTAAAGTGTAATACTTATTCGTCTTCTCAAGTACAAATGATATAATAACACTGAATAAGTTTTCTTCTGAATAATTAACTTATACATGTATTATTATTAAAATGGAATCCTGTGAAAGTGTTGATCTTTGTTTGTAAATGGCATGTCTAAAGTAAGGGAATTCAGCATTATACTCACCTCACCGAAAAACAGTTTAATGCTGATCAGTTCGGACACATTGTTTACACTAGTTTGTAAAAGACTAGATCTTACAGAACGGATTTGGGAGTGAGTCTTTAAATTTATAGTGTATGGCTTCTTACACAATCGAACCAAAAACATTTACATAAACTTTAAAAGCGAATCATATTGATAAAAAACAAATGTTTACATAAAACAGAAAAGCAATATATGTTTTCTGGAACGTTCATTTTAGTGATACATGTACAATCTTTGGAGACACTGATTTTTTAGTTTGATAATTACTTGTTATCATGATTAATTTTTTCGAAACGTTTCTTAAATCGTGAGTATTTTTCTTGTTTTATTTTCTTAAGACAAAAAAGTAATACAAAATACAACAACAACAATAACAACAATCCCCAAAACAGTGCAATTCAAACGAAATCAATTTGGACAACTATTTATGAATTGAATTATAAAA